GAAAAGAGGGAGCTCTCTAAAGAAAGTGAATTAACAGGAGGAGCCCAGAATGATCAGAAGCAAAAGGAAGGCAATGATAAAAAACAGAGTCAGAAATTAGAATTTGTGACAATTAACGGGGGGGGGGAGGGAAAGACCTAGTTTATCTTAATTTAGAGGCACACAGGAAAAGTATACACTTGTACATTTATTTGTGGGTTTTATTATTTTGTAATTAAAAAATGGAACAAACAAAGCATTTGGCAGCCATTAGCTCAGCCACTCTGTATGTTGTGTTGTCACTATCCATGCTCTTTAGCAGAGTCATTACCTAACGTAGTCTGGGAAGGGGCTTGTGTAGTCCCACCTCCCACTGCAAGCAGGCCTGACTAGAGCAGGTGGCTCAGGTCCAAGTCCAGCCAAGGTTTGAATATCTCTGGGGAGGGAGATTTCACAGCCTCTTTGGGCAGCCTCTTCCCATATCTGACCACCTTCATGGTGATTTTTTTTTTTCTTTTATCTCTATTAAAGTTTCCTGTCTTGCAACCTGTATCTGTTGCATCTCATCCTTCTCTTGAGAACCTCTGAATAGAGCCAGGCTCTGTCTTCTCCTCATCCTTCTGCTAGGTGGCTGAAGACAGAAATAAGATCCCTCCTTAGCCTTCTCTTTTGTACTGTCTGGATTTGCTAACTGCTCAGTAGCATACAATATTTTTAATTTGTATCTGTAGCCTGAAGACTTGAGCACTGCTTGCTATGACCAGTGCACAAGTTGTATGTTATACAAGTTTGGTCACATCAAAAATGCCACACACCTGTATACGCTTGTTATGGCAGCTCCTCCTTGTTAGGCTGTTCTGCAGAAAGACAAGTTCAGGTTTAGTATGGATCCACTCGCTTTTAATTAACTCATAATGAATCATGGGTTGCCTGGTTTTCTGACTTGCTTCTGTCCCTGGAAATGCAGTAACTAACAACTGTTCTAGTAATTTCCCACCAATCCTTAAAGAGGTGAATAAATCAGGCAAAGCTGCAGAAGTCTGTATGGGTTAATTGTTAACTGAAAGCTTAGACCAGAAGCTTTGGTGCTTTAAATGTATACCCCTTATCTGCTCATATGACTTAAAGGTAGAGGGATGTATTCTGAAATATTTCTACAATCCACAATCACGCTTGCATCTTAAGGAAAAGAGAGTTTGCATGAGAAATTCTTACTGATACTCAATTTTTTACTTTATTCTCGTCAGGTAGAAGTGATGTAGTCTTAGGCTTCAGATAGCATACAGCAGATATCTTGGAAAGAATGCTGCAGCTAGCTAGGTTGTCCCCATCACAAGAGATAAGGGGGGAAACCAATCAGCAGAAATTACTTTAGACACTTCCTTGCAGAAACTTAAAGTCCTTTGGAATACCATGGAGCTGAGTTGAAGAGGTTAAAGTCTGGTTCCTGTTCCCTGGATCACGTGTGGACTGAATTAAACTGGTGTCAAATGAAAAAAAATGAAAGCAGTCCTGGGAGCAGGGACTAAAGCTGCCCCATCCTGGCTGCTCGCTGCCTGCTCTCAGCTCCCTTCACTCTTCTCTGCTTTTAACCTCTCACATTCCTGGCTGAATGAGGCCTCGCTTCTATGAAGATGCTTTACTAGTGACAGGGAGAGAGCCTTTCTCTTTCTTTCTTCCAATGCTTTCCTTGTCTTGTGCCAGCACATTTATTGATGTTTTTCTGGGATCAGTCTCCCTGTGCTGCGTAGAGGAGTGAACAGGCTCTAGGTTTAGCTAAACCAGATTCTGGTTCAGGTTTCTTACTTCATAGGCAGGCAGATAAGTAGCAATCTCTTCCATTATTTTGGTTGGTTGGTTTGTTTGTTTGGGGTGAGGTGGTGGTGGTTTGTTTTCATGTATGGGTTTCATTATTTTGCAAGGTGTGCACCTTTCTGTGCTTTTACAGTGGCTTAATGTAAGTAAGATTAGATGCTCAATCTGAAATGTGTGCTTTGCTATTACAGACAAGAATATAAGAACTGAGATGGATGCAGAAAGCTTCAGCTATGTCTTCTGAAAGGAATATTTGTTTTCTGGGTATCTTGTTAATCTGATCATTTGGTATTGTGTTTCTCTTTCTTTTTCTTTTTCTCTGCTTTTTTTTTTTTTTTCTCCTTTAGGCCCTAGATGGGTTCTTCTTCGTAGTGAACCCAGAAGGTAATGTTGTGTTTGTTTCTGAGAATGTGACACAGTACCTAAGGTACAACCAAGAAGAGCTGATGAACACAAGCATATATAGCATCCTGCATGTAGGGGACCACAATGAATTTGTCAAAATCCTGCTGCCAAAATCTTTAGGTATATATATCTTTTCCTCGTATCATACCATTACCTATTTAACTTTAGTTTCATAAATCAGCATTTCAATAACTTGAGTTAATATCCTTACACTACTTAACAGTTTCATCATATACACTCTATTTATTTTTAATGTATATCTAGGCTGTATGAATGATTAATAATATTCTCAAATCATCCTCCACTCTTTTCAGGTTCTTCTTTGTTAAAATTACTCTTAGTAATTCATGTTAGCTGATATTTTTAATGGATCTCCAGAGTGAATCACTAAAAGACAGCATTAGCTATGTGAACTCTGTTATGTTAGTTCTTTGTCTAGGCTGGTTGTTCTAAGAATGGCCCAAGAAAGGGGAAATGTAAAAGAAAAATCAGAAAAGTCCTTATGCTAGAATTTTTATTTCAGTGTTTTTAGTCTCACCAGTATTTACCCTTATCTTTCAAAAACTGTTTTTGTTAGTTGCTGCCATTTTTTTGATTCATACTAATTTTGTTTTTAACGTCATTGGTTTTTGGAGGAGGTGAGAAGAAAGAGAAAGTCAATATTGGGCACCACATTTACTCACAGCAGTTTAAAAAAGTATTATGCAATTCACTTTCGCATTTTATAACTTTACTTATAAGCTCCTGAAGAATGAAAAATACAGATGACTAAACCCCATGAATTACTGCTGTTATTGTGTCTTATGACTGAAGATGGCAAATGAAGAGTATTTTAATTATGACCCTGCTATTTCCTTATGTGATGTTACATTAATTTGCTTTGACTGATGTCTACTACCTATATTTGTCCATCTTCGGGTTTTGTTCACTTGTCTTCAGCACTGTGTTAGGCTTTAGTCTTTCCTGTTGTAGCTGAGACTATTTTTCAATATATTCCTGATTGTATTGCTTCCTGTTTTTATAAATACTTATTAGTTGGTTTTCTTCCTATTTCTAATCTGAACACAGATTTTTATACAATGCTACTGTCTCTTTTCTGTTAATCACTTTTAAATTCAATGGGCAGATCCTACATACTGCCTTATTTCTTCCAGGCATATAAATTAATTTGACCTACCCAGTAGGCTTTTCACTGTGCTGTATAACTTTTACATGCACCAATATTTAGACTTTTATCCTGCTTTTATACTATGTCATTATAAGTCACTCAAAAAAACCATGATAGCTGAACAAATCAGCAATGCTCTTAAAATACGAGAATTTTATTAAATACCTTGTTATGTGCTGGTTTGGGCTCCAATATTAAAAATAGATTGTTGTTGTTAAACAAGCTTGTTTCCCGACCAGTTTGCAAAGCACCTTGATTAGTTTCCTGTGGATAAGTAGCAGAAATTACTTCTGCCAGATTTATCTCACTATATGATCTTTACTTTGCTCAGTGAATGGAGGATCTTGGTCTGGTGACACTCCTAGGCGTAATAGCCATACCTTTAATTGTCGGATGCTGGTAAAACCTCTTGCTGATTCTGAAGAAGGCCATGATAACCAGGAAGCACATCAGAAGTATGAAACTATGCAGTGCTTTGCTGTTTCTCAACCAAATTCCTTCAAGGAGGATGGTGAAGGTAATAACCCTTTTCAATTTATGTTAGTATTTTCTCTTCCCATGCTGTTGCAGGACAATAGTTCTGGTGCAGTTGGTGAAGTGAGGCAAAGTTGATAAAGTGGCTTCTAAATACTGAAAAATTGTAAGTTTTTTTTCTTTTTCTGTTGAAGTGTACTTTCTTCTTGGATTATGAGCGTATAGGCTTGCATGCACCTATTTGTTAAACTGATATAATTAATATTGAGAGAAACTCCATTTACCTTAAAGAGATATCCTAGTTTTGTATCACTGCAATTGTAAGAAGAATGCAGCTGACTGGGAGGAAATTCTATGGGCAATTTTTTGGGTTCTTAAAGACAATTGTTGTTCACCATTTCCTTTGCCATTTACTACTTCAGCAGGTAAATTTCCTCAAGTTGTATTTTAAGTATTCAGATAAGTTAAAATGGCTTATTATGAAGCTGCTTTCTCAGGGACAGAAAGCACTTGGGGCATGTTTAAGAAATGTGGCTTAGAAGGTGCAAAGTGGTGAGTGTTAAAGAAATGTGCTGTCTCTGCATGCAGTGTATTCTTTTTTATTACCTGTCTCCTGAGTGGTTTATTTTTTCTTCTAAAAAGGAAAACCAGCCCACCTCTCCTGTGTTGTTTAATGTTATAGGAAATAATGAAGATGTAAAACCACTGAATTATATCTATCCTTTTGTTGGTACAAAATCTATTGTTTTGGTCCAAAAAGATTTAAAGAACTTCTTAAAAATACTTATGAATTCTTTGTGGAAACTAAATTTTCCTCTTCTATACAAATTACTGAAATAACATTTTTCTTTAAGATTTGCAGTCTTGCTTGATTTGTGTTGCAAGAAGAGCTCCAGTGAAGGAAAGACCACTTCTTCCTTCATCAGAGAACTTTACTACTCGCCAGGATCTACAAGGTATTGTGAAACAGGAGCTTTTCATGTCTTCCCCGC